GCCCGTCCTCCAGGCTGGGGCTGCCGTGGCGGCTCCCCTCCCACCCTCACGGAGAGAACCCGGGTTTCACCCCTCTCTGAGGTTTCCTGCACCCCGGGGATGAAGCACCTCGATGCAACCGGAGCATCACCACGATGGCTCGACACTCGGTGCTGCCGTGATGCGCCCCAGTGCCATCCCAGTGGTTCTCATCGGCCGGAACAGGGTGAGACTGTTCCCCCCAGCCCAAAACTTCCTCTCAAGGATTTGGTGTTTGCAGGCAGGAACTCTCAGGGTTTTGGTGCAAAACTCCTCCTGCTTCTCCCTGGTCCCGGGTACCTCTGGGACATTTGGGAATGACCGCTTTAGGTCCCACCAGCAGCATTCATCCTTCCCCGTGCCGCGTCGGGAGGCCCATGGGAGGAGATTTCCCTTCACCGCCGCCGTGACTATCTCAGCTGCGGGGCAGATGAAGAAAGGGAAGGAGGTTTCCGACCTGGAGGGATCCAGCTCTGGTGGCTGCTCTCCTCCTCCCATCCCCAGCTCCATGTCAGCGTCTCCAGCCTGTGTTTTTCACGGGGTGTTTTCTCCCCCTCTGCACAGATGGGCTCTGTTTGCCATTAGCTTCCCCTCCTCTGCCCTCGGAGCTGATCCGAGTGCTAATTCTCACGCGTGTTTTGGGTAAATCTACTTTCTTTCCCGGGATGAATTGTGGTTTCCAAGCGCCATTAATCATTTCCCTTTAGAAAACAGTGTTGGGGGGGGGGAGGGCGCTGGAAACATTGCTCCTTTCTTCACTGGGAGGATGACCTGGCGTGCTGGCACCCGGCCATGGGGCTGGCGTCTGCAGGACGACATGGAGCACGGAGCAAAGCCTCGGGGTGAGCTCCCCTCCGCTCTGCCGGGACAGCAGCGTTGGCTCCCACCAGCACCACCATCCCCGAGGACGAACCCCCTCAGCCCTGAGGTTAGGGGCGAGCAAGAGGATGGAGGATGGAGAGGAGGACGCGGCCGAAATGCCACGTGTTTTAACCCTTTCCCCAAAGCCTCTTCCCAGAGGGGTTCTCCCAGGAGCCTGTTTGCACCATGAGATGTGTCATGGCAATGGCAGAAATGCCGACCCTGTTCTCCACGTGCCCCTCGAAATGCCCGGGATGTGAAATCGGGACCCTTCGCTTATCGCCCGCCGGCGGGGCGCAGGTGGGCAGGGAGTCGAAGGAAACTTCTCCTGCCCCGACCGCCGCGAGGGTAAAGAGGTGCAGCGAGCACATGTGAGCGGTTTCCTCCTCTCCAGCTCAGGACTGTCAGAGGATGATTAATGGCCAATGCCGCAGAACTGCCTTGATTGCCAAGTGCTGTATTGTTAGCACTGACATGTAACGAGCCCGGACATACTTTAACACAATTCTGCACCGTAATCTGCAAATAACGTTCGATAGACTTAATTTGTTAAGTATTTCCCCCCTCACAGTGCCTCTCCCCACCTCCTTTCCCTTTCAAAGCTGTGTCAGGGGCCAGGCCCAGTGCCCGCAGCCCCCCTGCCCCGCTGCAGCCCCAGCTCTCGCCGAGGATTTCCCTTGCCTGGCTTAGCTGCTCCTTTAGGTTTTGGCTAGGTTTGGGGTTCGCTCTTCTCCCCAACCAAACGAAAAAAAAAATCAACTTTTTATGCATTTTTCAACCCTGTGCAAATTCAGTCCCCCACTGCCACCGCACTCCGGTGGGAGCTGCAATAGTTACTGGTAATTTTGGAGTTCTGGTTAATTAATTCTGGTTAATTAATCTGCAATAGTTACTGGTAATTTTGGGGATGGGGATGGGGATGGGGATGGGGATGGGATGGGGATGGGGATGGGGAT